TATCCGTATGTATGATTCACCACTACAGCCATGAATTCGAGCTCTTCAAATTCTCAATCCATGGCTACCTCAACAACAACTGATGGAAAGAAAGTACGGAAGCCCTACACAATAACTAAGTCCAGAGAGAGCTGGACCGAAGAAGAGCACGACAAGTTCATCGAAGCTCTCCAACTGTTAAGTTTTCCTTGTTTCTCTCATCTCTCTTCGATTTCTTGTTCTCAGTACGTCAGTTAGACGTATTGATCATCGTTGTCTCTGTACCCTCAATTCTGTTCCATTTTATGTTTTCGTGACTTCGAATCGAAGAAAACTTTTTGCATCTTTTGCTTATTCACAGATGTTAGTGTGGAACGGGAACCACTCTCTGAAGCTTGTTTGTCTTGCATTTCTTCTGTGTTATTCAGGTTTGACCGTGACTGGAAGAAAATTGAGGATTTTGTTGGTTCAAAAACAGTTATTCAGGTGCTTAAAAGTCTTCTGTTTTACTTCTTACTTACAATTACTTGCATTTGTTCAAGTTTGAGATTATTATTTTATATGAAGTTGTGGATTAAATTGACAACTTTCTCCGTAAGCTGGACAACCAGTGATTGCAATTTTTGTTTTTGTTTCGCATATATCTCTCTTATTGCCTGTATTTTTGTGTTTTTACCATGGTTTTTATACTTTTCTACTCTGTGGAGTAATAAGAGTCCATAGCAATTCTGACAAATTCCCAATATAGCTGATTTTATGGCATGCAATGAAAAATATTCTTGTACTTTAGTAGTCTTTTGAACTTTGGACTTTTATTGATGGAATTTGACCCAAACTCTCTAATTGAAATGAAGAAGTGTTTATTGGGTAATCAATGTAAGAATCCTATATGGAATAGGCTTATAGTGGATGAGTTTTAATATATCATGAATAGATATATTATACATGTGATAAGAAACATAAAGATCAAGTTGTGTCCACATATGTTTAAGTTACAATATTTTATTCGTATAAATAGGGATGTGTATTATGTAATTAGTTATCAGATGACCAGTTTTTCAGTGAATAATGTATCATGTAGGTTTATGGTCTGTGGATGTAGGTATGGTATACCAAGATGAGTATGTTGTATCGAACCACGTTATATATTTGTGTCATATTTTTGTTATTTTTCTATTTTTGAATTTCTATATTCTAACAAGTATTATTTGTGTTAATTATTCGTTATGCAAAACTAACAAGTGGTATTAGAGCTATACTCCAATAGTTATTGTGTGCAATTTCAGGTTTATGCATGCAAGAAATTAAAAAGTATTGTCTTACAATTTTGGATCATCAATTTGTTGGATTAAGCTATAGCCAATGGGCTTTTGTTCTGCGGTGGTAGCCTCAAAATTCATAGGGACTTCCTGAACAAGGCTTCCCCGGTGGATGGGCGACTATGTTTTCTGATTAAGAAATGCTGCACTGTGGTTGGACACATCATGCTTATGTAATTATACAATCCGAGATTGTGTGATTCTTAGTTGGTTAACTTTTTGCCAAGAATCAGCATATGATTAAATGATTTCACATTGAGTTTAGTCCACTCAAGTACTTGGTTGTAAAACTCCTCGAGTCGTTAAAGGTTCAATGATATTGTCTGTCCCTTAATAATATTGTCTTTCGTTTTCTCTTTTTTCTTCTTGCTGAGCCTTTTGTCACTGCTAACATTCATCTGGTAGCTTCTCGATTTTCCAATTTCGACATTTGATATGGTTTATTGGTGCAATTTGTCCTTGCATAATTTTTACATTTATTTGTCTTATATTTTCATTGCAGATTCGTAGTCATGCCCAAAAATACTTTCTGAAGGTCCAAAAGAATGGAACAACAGCACATGTGCCACCACCTCGTCCAAAACGCAAAGCTGTTCATCCTTACCCTCAAAAGGCCCCCAAAAATGGTTTGTCCCTAGAAGGATAAAAGATAGTGTATCTGCCATTGGATTTCAAATGCATTCTTATCATACTAATATGCTATTTTTTGTAAAAAAATTCTGGCAGTTTTGGTGCCATTGCAAGCCTCCATGGCTTTTCCTTCTTCCTTGAATTATCTTGCACCTGGATATTCTCCATGGGATGATGCTTCCATGTTTATAAACACTCCACCAAGTGGAATCATGCCTTCCCAAGGCGAATACAGTCTTCATGGAGTTGAAGGCATGCTTGAATTCTTACAATGTTCTATTCTTGCATGTTATATGTATAAAATATTATAAGAATTTTTTATCAAGGGAACTTTTTCACACTTATTATGATGTACAACATTACTGATTCAGCTGATATTGGATCGAAGGGGGCAGCAAAGATTAGTAACAGCAGTATTAGTGGAATTGGAAGCTCATGCAGAACATTACCAAGTTCTGAGTTACTATCAGAAGGGAAACAGTGTTCCATGCTTCATGGTAATCTTCTTCATCAGAATTTTGAAATTTTCTTTATAGGCAGATGATTGGCTTAATTTAGCCACATCATGTTCAAGTTATAGTTGTGCATCTGCTTGTGTGGCAGAACATGCTATCTTCCTTCTGTTTTCTCTATTATATTATGGCCCATATGTACTTGTTGAGAAATTTTGCATCTCAATTCCATTTTAAACTATTTGACTAATTTGTATTTTGTATTAAAGTGTGTATCATAAACCACTATTATATGCATTGCTATTTGTTTTCGTGTTTTGTTTTAAGAGTTTTAGTCTTCGTTTGTCCATAACTCTTGGATTGTAGTGGTGTACCAAGATCACCTAGGTGTCATGTATTCATCATGTTGGATGCTATCATGTTAGTTTGATAGTTTAACCAACTAGAGCTTCCTAGCTTTGATTAATATTATTTTTGTACTCAGATATTGCATTCACATGGGTGATATATGATCTTCACGCATTTGTGCCGTTCCAGTTATAGTGACATTATGATTTTGTATGTGATGAAACGTTGAGTTCTCTTTGTGTATTGGGCTATATCACATGAAAAATTTAGAGAGCATTGTCATTTTCTCATACATGGATCAATAAAAAATCTCTCCTTCCCCTTACCATCCTATGTTATATGGACATGGGGGCATGTGGAGGCAGTTGCGTATCCACATGTTCTGCGGCAGCATGCTATTCTAGATGGAAAAGGAATGAATAACATAGCTTTTATTTACCCTACTTCCAGAATTCAAGAATATAAATGCTCATCTGATATTTCTCTCATGCTTCTTATCTTCGATTGAAAAAGATGAATATATTGGTGGATANTTGAGTTTAGTCCACTCAAGTACTTGGTTGTAAAACTCCTCGAGTCGTTAAAGGTTCAATGATATTGTCTGTCCCTTAATAATATTGTCTTTCGTTTTCTCTTTTTTCTTCTTGCTGAGCCTTTTGTCACTGCTAACATTCATCTGGTAGCTTCTCGATTTTCCAATTTCGACATTTGATATGGTTTATTGGTGCAATTTGTCCTTGCATAATTTTTACATTTATTTGTCTTATATTTTCATTGCAGATTCGTAGTCATGCCCAAAAATACTTTCTGAAGGTCCAAAAGAATGGAACAACAGCACATGTGCCACCACCTCGTCCAAAACGCAAAGCTGTTCATCCTTACCCTCAAAAGGCCCCCAAAAATGGTTTGTTCCTAGAAGGATAAAAGATAGTGTATCTGCCATTGGATTTCAAATGCATTCTTATCATACTAATATGCTATTTTTTGTAAAAAAATTCTGGCAGTTTTGGTGCCATTGCAAGCCTCCATGGCTTTTCCTTCTTCCTTGAATTATCTTGCACCTGGATATTCTCCATGGGATGATGCTTCCATGTTTATAAACACTCCACCAAGTGGAATCATGCCTTCCCAAGGCGAATACAGTCTTCATGGAGTTGAAGGCATGCTTGAATTCTTACAATGTTCTATTCTTGCATGTTATATGTATAAAATATTATAAGAATTTTTTATCAAGGGAACTTTTTCACACTTATTATGATGTACAACATTACTGATTCAGCTGATATTGGATCGAAGGGGGCAGCAAAGATTAGTAACAGCAGTATTAGTGGAATTGGAAGCTCATGCAGAACATTACCAAGTTCTGAGTTACTATCAGAAGGGAAACAGTGTTCCATGCTTCATGGTAATCTTCTTCATCAGAATTTTGAAATTTTCTTTATAGGCAGATGATTGGCTTAATTTAGCCACATCATGTTCAAGTTATAGTTGTGCATCTGCTTGTGTGGCAGAACATGCTATCTTCCTTCTGTTTTCTCTATTATATTATGGCCCATATGTACTGGTTGAGAAATTTTGCATCTCAATTCCATTTTAAACTATTTGACTAATTTGTATTTTGTATTAAAGTGTGTATCATAAACCACTATTATATGCATTGCTATTTGTTTTCGTGTTTTGTTTTAAGAGTTTTAGTCTTCGTTTGTCCATAACTCTTGGATTGTAGTGGTGTACCAAGATCACCTAGGTGTCATGTATTCATCATGTATTACTCATGTTGGATGCTATCGTGTTAGTTTGATAGTTTAACCAACTAGAGCTTCCTAGCTTTGATTAATATTATTTTTGTACTCAGATATTGCATTCACATGGGTGATATATGATCTTCACGCATTTGTGCCGTTCCAGTTATAGTGACATTATGATTTTGTATGTGATGAAACGTTGAGTTCTCTTTGTGTATTGGGCTATATCACATGAAAAATTTAGAGAGCATTGTCATTTTCTCATACATGGATCAATAAAAAATCTCTCCTTCCCCTTACCATCCTATGTTATATGGACATGGGGGCATGTGGAGGCAGTTGCGTATCCACATGTTCTGCGGCAGCATGCTATTCTAGATGGAAAAGGAATGAATAACATAGCTTTTATTTACCCTACTTCCAGAATTCAAGAATATAAATGCTCATCTGATATTTCTCTCATGCTTCTTATCTTCGATTGAAAAAGATGAATATATTGGTGGATAGTTGTTTATTTAGTGTGTGTTTTACAGGTATACCAGATTTTTCTGAAGTCTATAGCTTCATTGGGAGCGTCTTCGATCCAGACACTAAAGGCCATATGCAGAAGCTTAAGGAGATGGATCCCATTAATTTTGAAACAGTGAGTTGATAAAACATTTTCCAAGGTCTACTTGTCAAGCATTTCTGCATATGAAGCCTCAATTTGTATGGTAGGACGTGCCTATAACTGCATTTGATATGAATATTATGATTACTTGGTGATGGAAGCTGTATGCTAGTGGTTTAGCTGGCAAGTATTATATTTGCAGTTGATAGAGTAAAACAACTAATTTCTTATCCATGATGAGGGGGAATGGAAAATGTACTTCGTAGTGCTGCATCAATGAAGTGGGCAAGTGCTTCTGCAGCATTTTGTGGTTGTGTTCCCAATCATGCAATGGTACAACTTTTTCAGTAACCTGGGGGTGCGCCATACTCTGTGACATGGAATGTTGGACAGTTAAAAAAACAGCCTATACAACATGGTTATAGTTAAAATGAGTATGCCAAGATGAAGAAGTTGAAATAAAGAGTGACTTCATTTAAGACAAGCAATTGCTGCAGTAGAAAACAGAGTATGATGTGTCATTTAAGATGGATTAGCACTATGCAATATCTGACTAAAACCAATAGCTGCCTGTGAGGAGTGTTGATTTGAGTTGGGGAAGGAATGATGGGGGGAAAAGGAACCTCATGGCAGTGTCTGACGCAGCTGAAGGTGGTCTTAGGTAGATTTTTGAATGGCAACAGGCAATTTCATCTACCATTAATTAACTTACCGGCAAGAGAAAAAAAGAAAACAAAGATTTGCATCTACTCACATAGTGGTTTCACAAGGCTTTAATCAAGTGTGAACACTATACTAAAAACACAAGCCAGTTATGGTACATGACAATTTTAGAAAGTTATGGAATTGGAGATTATAAAGTTAAACCAACTTTATGGTTATTTTCAAAATTACTCATAAAATCTGGTTAAACTTGGCAAGAAAATTTTGGGATTTTCTCTATTTTTTTCATGTTCCTGCATCTCCTGAGGAAAACATTAAGATGGAAGTCAATATATTGCCCTTATATGTGGTGTTGACATAGTTGGCTATGTTCAAGTGACTGACGAGGTGGGGAAAATATAAGTTTGGGGGATTAAGTGGCCTTGATGCTACTTATTTTGAAAAAAGAGTGCTTTATAATAGTATTTTTGACCAGATCACACCAAGGGGATAACTGTCCCAAAACATGTTTGGTTGAAATACTCCAATCCAATCATCTTCTTGAAGCAGCTTGTGTCAATCCATTTGTCTCCTTGATGTGGCTTGTGCAAGTGGTATTGTGGAAATTGATTGGGTGCTCTATCCCCTCCTAAGGCGAAGTTTTGTAAACTCTACTGTTAAAAGCATTGTGATGGTTGCACGAATTTATGTTTGAGTCCCACATTGATATGCATTGGGAAGATCTGGGCTGTCCAAGGGAGAGCATTGAACCTAAATGAGGATATAATTTTTGGTCTGGAAACGGGATTGACATTTGGTATTAGAGCCGACTCAGTGTACTGTGATGTGGCTTTGAGGCACTGCAATGCAGGTCCCATGTAGAGATGTTGGTCCCTGAGGGAGGACTCAAGGGATCTGGATGGTAGAGCTTGTCACCGTTGTGCAATTGTGTTTTGAGTCCCACATCAGGTTCGTACTGGGAAGACCTGCCTTTATATGCCAGAATGGGAAACCCAAATGTGGCTAGTCTGTTTGGGGTGGAACCAGCCCGTGACATGTAGGTTTAGTTGAGCAGACTCATTAGTTAACTGATTGTAACTTGGCTCATTCCTGATTATTGTATTTTGCGACATGGTAATTGCCAATGTTCAGTACGTGCATGTAGTTATTATATTGATGGCTAACCTGGCCCTATAAGCCATGAAATGAAGCTCTTATGCCTCAAGCAAAGATATGAAATGGAGAGTGGAGTATAGAGCCTTCTCTTCAGTCATACTGAGATTCTGTTGTTTGATCATGAAATTCACATTTAAAACAGTGAATTTTGTAAAACTACCGTTGCCTTGCACTTGGAAAAAAACTAATAGCAAAAGAACTTCTTTCTGGTCCCCTGTATCAATAAGGTTGTGTAATTGGCAACACAATTGCCATGGACTAATGTAATATGAAATTTGGAGATGCATTTTTTTTCTTTGTCCGGTTTTATATAATGGTCAGAAATAACCCCTCAGTCTCTTACCTGAACCGCTAAGCTTTGTCTACAAATTTGTTTTTCTCGATGGGTTTAGCTGGATGGTGAAGTAGTCTCCCACTAGATCAATGTGAATTTTTACTGGCCTACATGTTATTTGAAACATATTATTGGGCATTTCATTTCTTCTTCTTTGGATGCGCAGGTTTTATTGTTAATGAGAAATCTCACGATCAACTTGTCTAGTCCTGATTTTGAGCCAATGGTAAGTACTGTTTTTTTAATAATATTATGACGCATGTTTTTGAGTTAGATGCCTAGCTCTTTCATTCCGAGGATGCATAAATTTCTCTGTTCCTTTTGAGGCCATGTTTATGAATAGAAAAATCATAGTGTTGGGCCTGGCTGAGTTGCAATGTTCATTATGTGTAGCGTTTTATTTGGACCTCTGCAAAATTCGCATGAATTCCCTGCTGTGTTAATATGAACTTTCGTATTTTTTGTGGGAAGTTTCTGAATAGTATTTGTATAGTTCTGACCAGGAGGTGATTTTATTGGTTGCTGCAGAGAAACGTTATGTCATCGTACAATATCACCAGCAAAACTGTGGGAGGTGCTTCAGGAAATGTTGCCAAGAATCAGAACAACGATCTAACATGTTGAATTTTGGGACTGTACTAATATTTATGTAGTGTGTATCTGTCATCAATCTTCAATTTTCTCTTCAGTGTTTCATTTTTTTTCCCGACTTGTACTGTTTTGATTAACTGGGTGACATCTAACTAAATTATCTTGTTCCTTTTGTCAGCATTTTAGGATAGAATCGTGACAGTTCACCCATGCTGTGCAAGTATATAACTTGAAGGATATAACGAGGCGGCCACATCAAGGAGTACCTGAACTTTCCCTCTTTTACATGCCTTTAAGGATCTATATGTCCAGAGGCTCAATGGAATTGTTGCTGTTTCTTCTAGTGATTTTGGTTTTCTAGCAGATGATAAGTTTATCTGTTCGCTTCTTGAATTTGTTTTTCGGTAATTTTTTCTTTTTTTAACGAATCGCTATTTTAAATTGTATGCCATATATTCTGCCAAGGTAGTGTAGCTATCTGAATAACGAGGGCAGATAGACTCACGCCACTGCGAGTAATGTGCATTCCTAATGTTGTTCAGTAATGTGGGTTGTGTTGTACAAAAAGTCGGTTCCTTTTGCTTTGTTTTGTTACTACAAACCGTATGGATAGATATCTGACCACGCCCTTGTGTGCTGTTTGGCTGTGGAAATCTTCCTCAATGCACACACAACAGGCTTGAATGAGCTCTGGTCATCACTCCTCTTCTTCAAGAAGAAGGTATTGGGCCCAAGATATTTTAACTTGGCCCAAAAGGAAACAAATTTTCTAGAAAAATTTGGAGGTCAATCCTCTTATATGGATTTGTTTGGATTTAAGTCCATCAAGGAAATTTATTTGTTATTTGTTATGAAGTTTGTTTTTTGTCAATTCTATCATACTATCTTTTTCTTTTATAAGTGAAATAAAACTAAAAATTAAAAATTCTTAAATTTTAGAAGTTTGATTAATATTAATTTTTTTTTTATCTCATATTTATCTATATTCATATATAGAGGTTAGGTATATATATAGTAACATTAAAAATAAAAAATAGTAACATTCAAATACCAAAAAAATAAAAAAAGTTATCATTTGGATACAAAAAAATACATTTAAACACAAAAAAGTAGTAACATTTAAACATAAAAAAAATTGAAACATTCAATATTAATATTTTTAAAAAATAACAACAAAACCATGTTTAACAAAAATTATAACATACTAAATAATAATTATTTCTCTCAAATTCAAACACAAAAAATAGTATCATTCAAATACAAAAAATAGTAATATTCAAAAAAAAAAATAGTAACATTGAATATTAATATTTAGGAAAATATTAGTAGTAACATGTTCAAAAATAATAGTAATATAAACACTAACGTACTCAACAAAAGAAGTAATATGAACAGTAACATAATAAAAAAAAATAGTACCATGAATTTGAATTTTTCTATTCAAATTCATAGTAACTTTTCTTTTGTATTTGAATGTTACTATTTTTTATTTTTAATGTTATTATATATATACATACATATATATATATAGAGAGAGAGAGTAACAAACTCTGAAAGATTGTTCGAATCTCAATTTGCACCCTCAAAAATTAAAAATCTAAATTTACACCCTTAAAGATAGGAATTTGTATCAATGTGCACCCCCAAAGATCAAAAATCTCAATTTACACCCTCAAAGATAGAAATTTGTATCAATGTGCATCCCCAAAGATAAAAAATCTCAATTTGCACCTTCAAAGATAGAAATTTGTATCAATGTGGACCTAAAATTAAATTAATAAATTATACATTGATCCTCTCATGCTTGTCACTTAATCATTTGAACTCCTTCACATTTAGAATATTCCCCTTACATCTCATGACGTTTATGCATGTGTAACACATAACCACTTTTCGTTGATATATATATTAATATAATCGTCAAAAAATATGATTTTATCCTAATATAAAATTATAATTTTATATTACCTTTTATTTTGTG